GGTGTTGAGATGCGCTCAAGACATGGAGAGTCGCTCATATGCACACGGGCAGGTACCATCCTTCTCTTCATGGGAGGCCAGCCACGAGGGTGGTGCCCCTCAAGGGAGAAGGGAGAGGCGGTGCCGAGGGGATGACAAAGACATGACACCCACACTTTCCCACTCCAATCTAGCCCAGGAGGACTCTTCCTTTAAACCAACTGTATTTCTAAAACACAGTAATGGCATAAACTGATGCTGGTAATGGCCTCTCCCAAAAATTTTCTGGTTCAACCTATCAACTGTTTCAGAGCAGAGCATGCTACCGTGGGGACCTATCTGACTAATGCCCATCACTCCCATCCATGCCAGATAAGTCAGTGAGTTGCTCTTTCTGCATTTTCCAAAAATTCACCTGAGGCATGTCCCCAATTTTGAAGTGCTCAACTGTAGTCTGTAGAAATAAAGCTGGTTCAAGGTCAGCTGTGGGGTTCTTGGGGAAAGAGGTCACAGAGCCAAGTTCATGGGTCCTCACCTCACTACTATGGGGCAGCTGTTTTTACAGCTTAAGAGACCTAATACAGAGGGCAGGAACTACATTATTTAAAAAGGGTAAAAAAGGATCTTAGAAAGTATCTTTTGTTCCAAGAATCAGTTATCCAATATATTTTTACACTTTTATGCTTCTTTATTTGAGCCAATATGCTCAAAAACCGTAGATAACATATTTCTATGAACTTAGTTTTCCTTCAGCTCATTTTCCATCCTGGTTAAAGTAGCCTGGCATGTGGTTAGTAGTTTCTTTGGCTCAGGAGATAAAAGATGGTTGACTCCCATAGTTAGCTTTATTTCCCAGGATAAGGAATGCGAACGTGCCCCCACCAGTGCTCCCACTATTCCGATAGTGGCAATGAGAGTGGGAAAGCAAGGCACGAAATGGCTGGGATTTGTCCTCGTGCACTTTCCCTTTCAGACCCTGAACATGTGGCATCCCCTCCCTGAGAGCAGACCTGTGTATCCACACCACATGTGATGTGGCACATGGCGGACAGGGAAACGGTGGTACATGCAAACACAACTGGCAAGCAACAGCAGACTAGGCGGCATACTCAGAAATCCAGACTAACACACTAGACAATCTGAACACAACCAAACACAGAAGCAACACAACTACTGCAAATATTGAGCTACATAAAGAGAAGAATTCAAAGTAAACTTCCCAGTGGGATTGCACGGGCCCACCCACAGACAGAGGAGGAAGGAGGGAAGGGACAAGGGGGACAAGGGCAAGAAAGCTAAAGCAGTTACTGACCGGAGGGCCCCCGACTCATGGCAGGATCGGCTTCTCACACAGCTGAGACCTTTGGGGACGAGATATCAAGAGTACACTGCTCTGCCAACAAGAGTCTGCTGCACACTGGGCCATGAGGGGCACGAGCCGCGGAAGGGTCCACTCAAAGAGCTTTGGAAATGCTACTGCAGCTAAAATGTAGCAGCAGGCTCACCTTACCAAAAAGGGACTTCACATATGTGCTGTTAGGAAAAACACCAATCCAAGCAAGAGTCAGGGGAGCCTTTCTGTACATCTTGGAAACATGGGGGAACACCACCCCGCCCTTGCCCATCATGAGCACTCCCTACTGTGTGCCAGAGAGATCCCCATCGTCTTGGGGCTAAAGTCTTTCTGTACAGACATCTAATTCAACACCATGGTTTCAGGGCCTGGCAGCATCCTGAACAAAGAGCACCAGGGCCAGAAACCACACTGCTCCTCGCCAGGAAATCTCTCTCGAGCCATTTCCCTCAGAGACGCTCCATACACAACCCGCCACAATCCAGTATCTTCGGAGATCTTTCAAATGATTGCTATTTATTACATATTTAAATGCCAGATAACAACTGAAAGGGACGATCTTTATTTGTTTAGCCTAGGAGAAGCACTGAGAATAAAGTCAGAATCCTCAAGACTCTTTCCATCAAATAACAATTCTTTCTCTCATGAAATGTTCTGTCACTTAAAATAAAGGCAGATGGTTGCTCAACTAAATTCCTGCTAATAAGTGTCACAATAAATCACAACTAATAAAGTTTCTAGAAAACAACCTGGTTGGCCAAAATCCTGTTGCTTTTCTGGTTCTGAGTGACATTTCAAGGAAACGTGACAGTGTGATAAGCTGTCAGTGTAACTACATGCCAGGACCTCAGAGAGCCTGTGAAGGAGGTAAGGCGGTGGCACATTGTTAAAATAAAATCCCAATGGCACACCAAGGCCTCAAGGCCCTCCTTGGTCTAGCCCCTGCCCACCTCTGACCTCAACCCTGCAGGCCAGAGCAGGGGTCAACACACTCCAGATGGAGCAGCCCAAATCAGCCCGCAGCTACGAGTGGTGTGCATGTTTTTAAATAGTTTTTAAAAGGAACAACAACAACAACACCACAAAGAATTATCTTGAGACATGACGATTATACATAATTAAAGTTTCAGGATCCATAAATGGTTGTATTGGAATTGGCACGTCTGCTCCTTTAAGCACTGTGTACGGCAGCTTTCGCGCTACAACAGCAAAGCTGAATAGTTGCGACAGAAACCGTATGGCCTGAAATATTAGCTGCCTGTTTCTTCACAGAAAGTTTGCTGACTCCTATCCTAGCACACGGCAAGGTCATGCCTTTGCAAACCTGCCGCCACCTCTACGGAAACCAGCCCTGGCTCCCTGGCTTTGTATGCCCAGCTCCTTCTCGTCCTTAGGTTCTGGCTCAAATGTCACTTTCTCTGTGTGGCCTTCCCTGACTACTCTATCTAGGGACACCTAGCCCAACTTCACCTTATGTATCTCCTTTGTAGCTCTTCTTTGAAACTGTGTTGTTCGTTTACTTATGAACCGTCTCTCCAGAAAAACATAAGCTTCCTAAGGATGACCCTGGCCCGTTGTGTCCACTGTTGTATCCCTGGTGCCTGGCAGAGTATTTGTGCACCATATGAACACTGACCACACTAGTCATATAAACTGACCTAAGCCACCCTCATGCCCCAGTCTCTTGTCACCAGAGATGCAAGCTGAAGAGACTGTCCTGGTTTGGGGCATCCCGGTGTAGTTTGTGAGACGTAAAAACAAGCAACCAAATAAAGCCTGCTATACCTCTCAAAGGTTTAAGAGGATATATATAACAACCAAGTTGAGCTGTAAGTTAAGAACACGCTGTGTTTTATGCCAGCTGGAAGAGGGGAAAACAGGGCCTACCACCTCGCGGCTTCTGGGCATGAGTGACAGGTGCCGGACACCCGCTTTGATCTTCCTGCCTTCATCTGTCCACTGCCCATCACAGGGGCGTGGCTTTTCAGTGGTCTTCAGCACTGATTAAAATATAACTTGATGCCTACAAATAGAAACCTCTTTTTTTTTTTTTAAAGATTTTATTTATTTTATTTTTCCCCCCAAAGCCCCAGTGGATAGTTGTGTGTCGTAGCTGCACATCCTTCTAGTTGCTGTATGTGGGACTCGGCCTCAGGATGAATGGAGAAGTGGTGCCTCAATGCGCACCCGGGATCCGAACCCGGGCCACCAGCATCGCAGCGCACGCACTTAACCACCAAGCCACAGGGCCGGCCCAGAAACCTCTTTTAAACACTAATTAAAAGTAATAGGCTGGCATCTGGAAACTTTTATAAACAAAAAACATAAAAGCTGAAATAAACAGCAACAGTGGGATGTCTGATCTATGCTCAAGTGGGTAGAAAGCTACATGTGTCTTCTCTGGAGTTTTTCAATTAACTTCTGAATTTATGGGGCTTTAAAATGTGTAATAATGTCCCTCTTACCTTATTTTTGGTGAGGAAGATTGGCCCTGAGCTAACATCTGCGCCAGTCTTCCTCTAGTTGTATGTGGGACGCTGCCACAGCATGGCTTGATGAGCAGTGTAGGTCCACACCCGGGATCCGAACCCACAAACCCCAGGCCACCAAAGTGGAGCGTGTGAACTTAACCACTACACCACTGGGCCAGCCCCCCTCTTACCTTTTAATCTAATAATGAGCTGGCTTTTCTCAATTTACTCCACTTCAATGATAACGAAATTAATTTTAATAACATTTTATTTAACCCAACATATCTAAAATACCATTTTGACATTGTAATGAATAAGAAGAAATTGAGATATTTTACTTTCTTTTTTTTTATACTATGTCTTCAACACCCACTGGAATTTCACACTCATAGCACATCTCAATTCAAAACAGCCACATATCAGGTGCTCAGCAGCCACGTGCCTAATGGCCACCACACGGACCGTACGGCTGTTAGATGTTCAGTTATTGTGAACAGAATACAAACCAAACTTATTTGCATTTTAGGACTTTTATACAAAAGAGCTTCTCTCTTTTTGACCGTGCCCATATTTTTTACTTATGATGACTAAATATGTTAAATATTCATTATTTTATATATATATATAAAACTCCTGGAACTCATCTTAGGATTCACACTGCCTTCTTCACAATAAGCTAAAAGATATTTAGGACCACATCATATTGCTTTCCCACAGGAATCCAATTTTGCTTTTCGAACCACGGCTGTTAGATTTAGTTGTCATTTCCTTTACACATGGCTCCTTTCCTGTCCTAACTGAAGGCAACCAAGAAGCTCTGGCACATCTGAGCCAAGTTTCCTTAATGTGCAACAGGACGGCGCCACCATCATGCACAAAATGACTCGCCTGAGTTTATAATTCAGAAACACTCCACCCTGCCTGCTCATTCCTTTAGGAGACTCATACCTGTCTTTACGATTTAAGAAGTAAGAGGGAAACACTAAGGACCTCGAAATACCCCAGGAATAGCCAGGATCAGAGGCCCCTGCTGGAGCGAGCACAACCAGGGAAGCAGTTTACACTTTGCTGAAAGTACCTGCTGCCCTTCACTCGAGCATGCAGCAGGGGTGCTGCTAAAGGAAAGAGCAGTTTCAACAGTTTGGGATGCAATGGGACCACTGTCCTTCACCAACAGCGAGGGCGCTCCTGGTTACCTCTGCATCCTGCTCAGGGAGGTGGTACGTCCTCTCAAGGCTCTGCAGAGTTCGGGGGTTCAGGGTCTTCCGCTCCAAGAGACATTCCAGAAGCAAGACCAGCTGGTCTGGAAGAAGCTGAGGGCAAAACCAAACAGCTTGTGAAAATGCATTCAGCTTACGAGAAATTAAACCCAAATGTTTAGACTAAAGACAGCAAATTCGGGGTAACCTGGGTACTCCCAGCAGTTGTCTGAGACACGGAAGACTGTGGACCTGACTGTGGTAAAACCTCAGGGTTTACCACTGGGGCCTGATTAAGCCCTATTTTCCATGGCTTTTCCTGTCAGCTCTATATTTAGAGCAGATCAAAACCATATCTTTTTTTTTTAAGGTGTACAATGTGACGATTTAATATATATACACACACATTGTGAAATGATAAAAACTGTATTTACCTTAATAATAAATACCATCATGGTTTACTAGATCCCTTTCTTTATAGCATGCATATGTCAAAAAATGCCATTTAGCTTAGACAAAGATTCAAGAAGCCATCTGATCTTAGGCAAACACATGAAGCTCAACAGAAATCAGCAGCAGCTTTCAGATCTCCTGCTTTACCACATAAATCTTACAGATGTACACCAAAAACTAAACAGCACATGACGAAACAAGACCCACGTCTCACAGTCTGACCAGTATAAAAAGTATGTTTATTATTCCATTAAAAATAAAAAATGCATGTACACAATTATACATGTGAGCATGTATGATTACACACACACACACACACAGTCACCCATATACTGAGTTTTCACATAGCACTGGTCAAAAATGGTGCTACCAGTAAAGGGCAAAGAGAGGAGGATGTTTTCATATGGTACAAAAATAACGCAAACAATTTGTGAAGAAACAATATTTGTAAAATCCAAGAACTTAAAATATCTATCTTATCCACTATTATACCACAGGGCCTAGATCAGCCGCTAGCACACAGCAGCACTCAAACCACTAATGGAGGAAAAAAATCACTTTAAGATACATCTTGTAGGAACTGAAAATATCTGTTATAAAATCCAGATTTTAAAATTATTACTACGGGCCGGCCCCATGGCTTAGCGGTTAAGTGCGCGCGCTCTGCTGCTGGTGGCCCAGGTTCGGATCCCGGGCGTGCACCCACGCACTGCTTCTCCGGCCATGCTGAGGCCGCGTCCCACATACAGCAACTAGAAGGCTGTGCAGCTATGACATACAACTATCTGCTGGGGCTTTGGGGGAAAATAAATAAATAAATAAATAAATAATTACTATGAATTCCACTGTTCTCTACATATAGCCTTTCTCCATCCCTGCTTATGCCCAGATAATCCTTGTCAACTAAGCCAAATTTTCAGGTCAGGAAATCAGTACTAGAGCAAAAAAATATTCATAAGAACACCTGGATTTTAATCCCCATTTTGTTACTCTAAAAGAAATTTAAAAAATTACTGGCTTCTCTCCCTACCTCCTCTTTACCTTCTGCCCTCACGTGTGCACTCTGCCTCCCCGCCCCTTTCACAGACACACACTTTTCCAAAATGCACTCGTAGGAAAACCCAGTAGACTACACGCACGACATTCACCACATAACTCCACAAAGAAAGCATTGCTTCCATTTTCTCACTTCATCCTTGTTAAGTTCTAATAAAACCTCTACTTCCCCACGGACAGACACAGATGCACGTCACCTGATTCTTGATCCACCTAAGAGTCATGCTGTGGATCCTCTCTCAGGCTGACAGGAGAAACAGGTGCCTTCAGCAAAAATAGAGTTACAACAGCACTGTCCTGGGAGGTTCTATATGGGGACTCAAAGAACGACTAACAATCTCCTTTCATTATTTCATCTCACATAAGGCTGTAAGATGCTTTAAAGATACCAAATTATTACATAACAACTGATGGCAACAACATTCATCTTCTACTTTCTAAAGTTTTAGATGCATGAGGCTATTTTTGTGATATTAAAAGAAATCCGTTGTTATAAAAGAGACCAAATCCAGGATCAGCAGGCTCTGGGGAGCCTCCTCACCCAATCACACCACGAGCACTTCGCTGCTGGGACCTGTGGGGTGTGACAAGCAGATGGAGGATTCTTACCCAGCTTCTGGCACTCCTGACCGGGCAGCAGAGCTCAGACTGTTCTTGGTCTTTCTTGTGGCGCCTCCTGTGCTGGCTCCATCTCCTCAGGCTGAGCCCAGTCGCCCAGCACCCAGGCCTGACTGGCACGTTCCTTTGGCCCTCCTTGCCCCCCATCTTGCCCTGCAGCCTGCTTCTCCAGATCTTCCTTTCCCATGTTTCAAGAGAGGCCCTTCCCTGGTGAAGGCTAAGCCTTCAGCCCTGGCTCTGAGTTCTCCTAAGGCCGCTCCCCAACTGCCCTCCTGCACTTGAACCCTTTTCCTGGAGCCTGCCCTTTCTCCCCCATGATGGTCTCTTTCTACCCACTCCACATACTTCCCTTTCCAAAGTGTGCTCCACGTAGCTCCCACCCAACGGTGGCCGGGCCTGGGCACTGGTCGGGCAGCAGCCCAAGTGCCTCCACAGGGGCTGGGGAGGGGAGGGCCCCAGTCTGGGTCAGAGTGGCCCATCCAGCCATGCACCCCAGCAGGCACTCTCAAAACCAGTCAGCAGCACTTGCACAGACAGCCAATCCCAGGGCAGCAACAGTGTGATGCTGAGGCCACGCAGGAGGCAGGAAGATGGGCTTCTGGGGAAGGGCCCTGCCTGACAGAGAAGGGACTCGGGGCACTAGGCGCCTGATTCAGCAGAGAACAGCCCTGGGCCGGGGGTGGGGGCCTCATTCCTAACTAAATACAGCAGGAACCAGCCCTGCCAATTTGCAGAATCACAGGGAAGGAAAGAGTCGAGAGAAAAGCATCTCCCTATTATGTGCCCTGGCTTACAAAGAGGCCTATTGTTAGAACTCAAGTTTGGGATTTGGTTTAAACTAAAGAGACCCACAGAGGAAAGAAACCCCTGAGTAAGATGACTAGCTTGGTCCTCAACTTACCCCGATAGGGTTTAACCAATAAACACAATTCCAGTTTAAAATTGAAGAATTACTAATATGTAAACCTATCAAACTATCTGGATTCATGCTTTTAGATCTCTCTGTTTTCTTCTAAGCAGAAAGTTCACACATCCGCACAGAGAAACAGAACCAACAGGATCACTGAAAGTTTTTGTCCTCTCCTAATTTTACACAATGGAAAAATATTTAAAGTCAAACCCTGACTTAAGAGGGACAGCTGAAACGAAGAGAGGGAGTCAAACCTTTGCAGTTCCTTAAGTTTAATTCACTCTAATTGGAGAGAGGTAAAGAGCAGGCGCGCACACCCCACCAGGTACCCCTCCTCCTCCAGTAGGCGCCTGACAGACGGCTGCAAGAGCCAGCTTGTTCAGGGGTGGGCAGAATGCAACAAGGACCAACACAGAGACGTGAGAACACTTCTCCCCAGTGCTGAGAGTCCTGCTGGTACCACTCTTCAGAACAGCCGTGTGTAAATGACTCTCACTTAATAAACAACCTGTAGCCATCTGGCTTTCAACTGTAACTCTTCTAATTCACGGTGGGGGGGGGGGCGGGTATCATCTAAACAATAGAGAAAATCAGTGATCAAATGCTACTTTAGTACACAGACAAAACTAATTCAGCATCTTTCATTCACAAATAAGTAAATAATTTTTACATGAGATCACATACTCTGAAAAGAGGATATTAAAGCAAAACTGTAGGAAGGAGCTGGCTTTAATGTAGTACATTTCTCTTTGTAAAATAAACATGTACCCTGTAAGGCCACCCTACAATGGAAAAGAAGTATGTAATAAACCAAAATGTCCGCAAAGCAACAGAGAGATATCGCACAGCAGCAAACGTGCTCAGAGGAGCGCGGGGCTCGACCGCCTGGCAGTCGGCACGGCAGCGCCGGGAAATGCTGTGCGGGGCGTTCCACTCCCACCCACATGGAAATCAAACTCAGCTTCACATGACATCTAAGCCAACTGTGTTCTAACACGGCTGAGGAGACAGCCGTCACGTTACGGAGTGACGAAGAAAAACACAGCACATGTTTCAGAGCATTCTCTCCTGAGAAAGCAGCTCCTTTCAACACAAAAAGGACCTGCCTTTACTGCTGAGGGTTTAATAGTGCTCACACCCACTTCAACAGTGACAGGAATAGAAAGTCCTTTCCTTTGCACAAACAAGGAATTCATGACGGGGTTATGTTTTTTTCCATATGGAAACCAGCTTGCTATTTTCTAAAATGCATCTGCTTCAGAAACTTGGACAAAATAAGGCTATGGGTGCCAAAGTCATGTGAGCACTTGAAATAGAACGTCACAACACTGTAAAACATACTCGAATACAAAGAATAAAACGCTGAAGGAAGTCAGTCAATACAGATGCTATTTGTTAAGGATTTAGAAGTCTGTATTCTTGCTCTAAACATGGAGGATTCCATAATTGCTAATTACCCAGAAATGTACAAAGAGAAAAAGGTCTACCTGATATTTTTCCCTGTCAACTTAAGAGTTGAGGCAAGCCGCACTACTTTGAACCATTTTCAAGAGTCCCACAGAGGCTCTTAGAAAGAAAATGTGCATTTTCCAAACCCACTCTCCTAATCTACAAGCAGCACAAAGAAAACAAACCCTGACTCTTCCAGAAGCCTCTTACTGCTGTCACAGGGGGCATCACTCACTCCCAGTTCCCAGAAGACCACCCACACAACTGAGGCCCTCCACCATTGCTTCCCACTAGCAGGATGCAGAAAAGGCCAGCTTGCCTCGTAGATCAGAAAACGTCCCCCACGTGTCTCACCACTCACCTTCCGCAGGCAGGACCCGACACAAGGAGCCCAGCGCACACGGACATCCAAGTCCCACCACTTGCACCCCTCCAAAAGCAAAGGAGGGCACCTCCCCTCGAGGCCCAGCTGGCGCACTGAAGCCACACATGAAGAAAGTCTCTGAGAGGCTCGCAGACAGGGAGCGAGCCTGGGACTAATGCAGCCACGGACTGACAGTGGCGTGAGTTCTATTACGACCCCATTATCACTCTGGGATCTGTGCCCAAACGAAGCATGCTTCCTCCC